CCAAGTTTTTTATTTTAGGAGCTACAGATGCACGACGCACTATTGCCGGACCCTGTATATTAGTATATAGTGTGACCAACGGATCTGTAGCTACGGGGTATCGGCAGGGGAACGCAGTTGTAAACAAAACACGCCCAATTTCATTCATAAAATAGGCATGGGCGTACGCTGTTATATGAAAATAATGTGTATCATAAATATAATATTCCGATTAATATTTTTTTTCAAAAAACTTTATGCTGTTTGAATCGTTACTGTTGAGTTAGCAGATAAACACTAAAAGCTTTTATTAAAGCTCCCTTAAATATTTTGAATCATTTTATTATTGTGTTGTCAATATAATAGAAGAAATAATTACAGCTGGGGGTTGGAACCTTTGGTGTTACACAGCAAAATAAAACACGAAATCAGTACAATATACCAAAACACTTTTAATTTTACACTGGACGCACGTTTCGCTAACCATGTCTGCCATCAGCAGATGATCAAGACTGAGTCTTGTGGTATATTTATTTATATATCTGTACTAACTATATTTTTTTCTATAATACATAATTTTAGATATAACTATTTCCAGCAAAAAATTTTTGCAACCGAACTTTGGAAGCGCAAACAAAACATAATTTTACTCACCAATATTGCCTATTACACCAGATATGGTATCGCTCCGCCAGCACTTTTTAAAGGTTAGGTCATTGTCTACCCATATGTTTCATCCAAATAGATAATACTTGGCTATATCTTCGAATTTCGCGTATATATTTATATCTCTCTCTGCAATATAATGGGCCGCTCCACTAATATTTATCTGTTATTTTGACATTTACGCCAAAAAAAATCATTTGATTTTAATACCCCCCTAAGCGTTTCCCTGCCAAAGCAAAATTCGATTCTTCCTGCAATTTTTGTAAAAATTTTATAATTGTGGGGACGAGTTTGAATTCGAGATAAAATCTATTTATCAAGTTCCTGACCACTTGGAAAAAGTCGTCGAGCTTTTCAACAGCAGTCTCGCGTGGTCGTTTTTTTCCAGGGCTGGATATCATTTTATCGGGGTTAGTTTACAGCCTTTTTTTATCTTCTGTGTGAATTGTTTTATAGGCGATACGCTAACTCCGGTATAAAGAGATATCCGCTCAAGTTTACGTTTAAGCGGCAATTTAAGCGAACTCTCTGTAGCTTCTTCGTCGCAAACCCTATTATGAACACAAGGAAATAAACCAAATGAGATTTCATCCACGTTTATTTGTATTTATTTTAGTTTAGCTAAAATATTTAGGTAAAATGTGTGCTTTTCATTTTAGCCAATATTTAATTTTAATATTCTAATTATTATATTATTATTATTCTACTTACCTATATAAATTAGCTATTATTTCTCTTGTCTGGCTATGTAGCGTCTTACCCTTAACAAATTTATTCATTTTAAAACACAAATATACGATTAAACTTGATATTAATAATTAAAAACTACGAACGAAAAACATTATAAGATAACAAAACAATAAAACACAACTTAACTATCAAATATACGAAAAATATAGGAATAAAGTTTAGGATAACCGGTATAAAATAATGAAATAAAGTAATAATGATCAAAAGAATGACACCGCCACTGGATATTTCAATAGTATTCAATATTCCTACTCTTTTCAGAAGAGACCGTGAAGTTGGGGATAAAGCAAACGAATAGGAAAGGCGTAAAAACCATGGCAACCGCGTGGTAACAAATCCTGTGACGTATCTCGCCAATCATGTTCGATGAATAGGCGGCCATGCGCGGCGATGCCGGTTTGCCAATGATATCCATGAAAAATCTTCAACTTTCATAATAAGCAGGTTATACAGAATGAAAGAAATAAGTTATTAAATAAAACATATCGAACAATATGAACTACATTAAAATTCCTTAGTAATATACGTCAGAATATATGCTGAACACATTATATATAATAAAAATATATTAAATTTATAGTTCATGTCTGGCAATTTTGCAATTTTATAGATAAACGTGGCAATATCGATTTTTTTTTCTCGCATTCCTTCCGTAGCTTCAGATCCGCTGGTCAAACAGTAGATATAGATTTTAATAAAAGAAATTTTGACAAAAAAATTTACTGTAGCTCGTAAGTTCAAAAGCTACCATGATGCCATTTTTTCCTCACATTATATTTTACATCCTTTAGTAACTTCTCTCGTATTTCGATCTGTTCTAAAACTGGTGCATGTTCGTTTGTAACAACTTGCCTCTATTCTGGTGTTTAAGTATGCAGTGCAAACAATTGAGCTGAAACGTTCCCTTTTGAATATTGTCCTAGTGTCCGGTCCTGGTGTCAACTTTGGAAACCGTATACGCAGAACTATATTTCAGATAAAGCGCCAACTTCTGTCTTCTATTTGTTGAGCAAATAGAACTTATGAGATAGTAAGTTAAGAGTACAATAAGATGATGAAATTCGCTTCTCTGTAAATATTAAACATTTTCTAGCGTATTGCAGATTTCTATTAATCTTCATAATGTACGTCCTCATATTAATCTACATATTATACTCTAATTTTTTAATATATACTCCCCGGGACAAAATTCCTAACGCCACTTTAAAAAGTTGACTAAGTTTGATGTTTCATAACATTATATTTTGTAATCCGATTTTTATGTTTATAGAATTAACGTGAAGATTTATTGGCATTACTTTTTATTATTTTAATGGCTTATATTCTTTGGTAAGGTGGGTTTATTCCAGGGTAAATCAAAACGTTGTTTTTAGCAACAAATTATCACCCTGTGGAAAAAATGAGATGGGCATTTTGGATAAAAAACAAACACTTTTCTGTAATCTTAGATGTATTCCTAACATTTCAATTTTCGAATTGTCTCATTATCTATATTCTTTTAATGAGCTACACATTTTTAAGTAAAGTTATTATTGAAATTTCAGAGATTCTTTTATTGATAAAAATAATAATTTTAATGGCGTGTATGTCCACCACTCGCAGCAATAACGGCTCAAGGTCTTCGTCGTACCGAATTAATAATGGTAGTTATTCTTTCTTGATCTATTGCTTAATAATTAATGTTACCAATAAGCAACCAGCATTTCTTTTGCATAGTCAAAATTTGTCACTCTAAATTTTACATAACCAAATTGTCACTCTAAATCGCAGTCTTTTTCAGACAGATGTCACATTATTCAATTCATTATTCGTTGTTAACAAAAGTTTCATTCATAGAAAAAGGAAATAAATCTATTTGATTGAAAACCCCGTCAAAATATATAATTGGTTTGGGTCGCGACCGTTGTACGCGATCTGGCGCTACTATAGCGGTTGCTAGAAACAACCGCCCCAAACAATAACATAAATAATTTTCTCTTGTCAAAGTCAGAATCTTCAAAAATTATTAAATCTTTCAAAATTTAAACCGCTCTCATTGAAAAAATACCGAAAAGTGTTTAAAGCCTCAATTCTCAAAGGAATTATTGCTATCTTGTGAGTTTAATTTAAATTTTACTTACTCAAACGCGTGATAATTGTGTAAAAGTGGCATTAAAAACTAAAAAATTGTGTTGTGAAGTGTGAACTGCAAGGACCATCATGGATCGTGGCATAACGTCGGTTTCCAATGTTTCATAGGTATTTCACATACATGTCCTTATATTAAATAAAGTTTCTTATATGCAACATACTGTATTTTATTTATAAAATTAAAAGAAAATAATAATAAATTTGAATAAATAATATTTAGTAACATAATTCCGGAAAAAGCCGAACCGAACCGAAATTATCAAAAGCTTCTGGTCGCGACCGTGGGAGAACCATAAACTCTCGAAAGCCCAAGTTATCGAAAACCCGAACGCAAGCGAACGGTAAACCGAATGGTCCCGATTGAAAGTTATCGAATCTCGGCTCCTCCCCTCGATCAGTAGTAATCTCACATGGCTCTTGTAAACGTTACCTAAAATTTGTATTTTAAACTGTAAACAAACATCAACGGAATTTGTTTTTGGTGAAAATATAAACTTAAAATACATTAAAATGTGGGATTATCTTGCGAAATTAGAACCTGAAACCTTAAAAATGTCGAATCGGTACAAACCAAAAAATTCATTCGTGAATAACATAGAAAATAGAAGCTCCTAATTTTGTTATTCAGATAATTAAATACATAATAATAGCACAAATAATAGCCCAGACTTCCCAGAGGAGTTTCAAAAGATACAAGAAACATGGAAATTATTAGTTGCATAGTGATTACCACTAGTTCTTACAATTTCCAGTAATTAAAAGCATATAAAAGGTTGGAGTTTGTTCATATATTTTAAGGCAAGATTTTGTCAGTGATCATGCAAGCCTCAAAGTTACAGGCCATATCCTTTTCAAAGCAAAAGTAAGTCTTATGATACACATTTTCCCAATATTTTTTCTATATTTATTGGTTCTTTTAGGTCAAAAATCAAGGTATGAATGGTATATAAACCTGAAGCTGAGATTTGTGTCAGTCCACTGTACTTGCCTGGAGGGGGTTTAGTAATACACAACCTGCTGTTGAAAGAATTTCAACATCAACAGAGACTATTATGTACCATAAACCATTATTTATAAATCAAAGTCATAATGATATTACTTCACTTTCAAAATAGGACTGAGTGAAGAATATTAACAGTTCGAAGCTTCACCAGCTGGTATTTTTTAGTGTACTCGAAGTTATTGTGATTTGTGATTGTGACTGGTTGAATTGAAATACTTATTAGTGTGTAAAATACTAATGCTTTTTTATATCCAACCGATTTTTACCTACTTCTTATGCTCAACAGTTTATTTTATTGTTCATTTCATCAGTGATTTAGTAGAGGAATAGGCTAATAAACAAGACAGTATTCTTCCCATGTAAATAAATATTTTGTTTTTCTTTATAAATAAGCTATTGTTAAAGTTATTTTATATAAAATACAGGGTGGTTAAAACATGTTTTTGTAATATGTAGTTATTATTAAAAAAATTGGTTTTGCTCTTTATTTTATCCTCTACGGTTTTGCCTAAAAATTTTAAATACTGCTTAGCTTTATTCGTTGAAGTTGAGGGAGTTTTATAAAATGCTTTTTTCTCTATGTCAAATAGTTTCTGAAATATAGTCGAGTGCAATTAATGGACTACTTCTGTACTTCAACAAAATCATCGTTCCAGATTATTTAAATCAGTAATTAATCTGGCATTTTTTTTAGTTACCAGAAAGGAGCAGTCTTTAATTACAATTTGCAATTCCACCATAAATCGACCAAATCCCAAAACAGATGATAAAATTTGTTATTTCCTGGTTCAATCCAAACTCTTAAGGGTATTGAAATAAAACAATAATGTAGAGAAAAAACGTTATATTTGATAAATTAAAAAAGACTAAGACTAAGTAGACAACAAATACCAAGTTAAGATACTCCCATTTTGATACCCAATTAAGTTCTAACATAAAAAAATATCTATCTAACGTTTTTTACAAAAAAAAATAGTAAGGTTCGAATTTTTTACTTCTGAAAAATAATGTAATAATATTAATTTATTTTGACAGAAACTAGTAGAAAGTATGAAAATATCTTAAAACAATCAGAACTAAATGAAAATTCAATGTTACATTCAAATTAATTCATTGTTAAAAGATATTTACATAATCAATATATTTATTAGTAACCATTACATAATTATGTTACTTGAAAAGATTTCAAGGTTTTTCGTTACTAGAAGAAAATCTACAAAATAAAAAAGTTATTTTTTATTGTAAACACCACTGCGGCAATTTGTCAGTGATACATATTTTACTAATGAAACAAATTTGCCTGACAAACAAAAAATGCTTAGCAAATCAAAGAAAAACCAGAAGCCTTTTCAAGTAATGATCCCGCCACAAAGGTATAGACATTATTTAGAATTCTATTACTATTACACATATCTAATTAGAAAACATTTACATACATTAAAGTTACTTTATAAACAACCAGCACCAAATTTAATACAATATAGGCTAAAAAACAAATTTAGTATTAACTAACTAATAAATTATATAAACCAAACCAAACATATAACGTACAGTCGTGCGCATTGAAACTGGAACACCTACCCGACAGCTTTTATAGTTAGAATTTTTGTACAATTAGGCTTTTTCCTGCTAATTGATTTGGATCCAAATTTAAATTTATTCAAACTCTTAAATGCCTAATAAAATATTTTGACAGGGACATTATTGTATCCCATTTTCTATGCTCGCGACTGTTTATACAACCAGCACCAAGTAAAAATATTAACAACCTAAGTCAAGTTAATTTAACGCTCTCCTAAACCTACTTTTGGATGACAATAAAATTTAACCAAACTATAGTTTAAAGTGCAACATGGAATGTTGAGAAAAGATTTTTATAATAAAAAAACGATTCAAGTATTATTATAAAAGGATAAAAGGGACTATATAACAGTTCCTGTCTATTATTAAAATCCTATATTTAAAAAAAAACTAATTAAAAAATATAGGGCACGGTTCTTTTCGCAACTCCATTCTGCAAATGCCACATTTGGCTTGTACATTAAATAAGGTGTCAGTACAAGTTGTACAAGATGCATGTCCGCAATCTGTCATTACATACTGAACCTTATTTAAATAACAAATATTGCAGCGAAGCACAGAATCCATAGAATCTTCCTCAAAGGCCACTGCTGGAATCCTTGGCTCCCAATCTTATTAAAGAAATAGGATTATTAAATTGCTCTACTACTATAATAACATGTAAATTGAACCCACAAACCATGTGAAACCCTCATCCCAATTACAATTAAAGAGTCATAACCATTGCACCATTTAAAATGTAACTATGGAAAATTTATATTTAATATTTTTGTACTTACAAGTGAGAAAACTTTCAATGTCATATTTTATACAGGAACATTTCGATGAGTAAAGGCTATAGATAATATTTTCAAATTGTCTAAACGCAACATATCATTATGTTGTTAATATATTATTTTAATATTAAATGAGCTGTTTTTTTTTTGAAAGTGGTATAAGTCCATTTGGAATTAAAAAAGTCCTTTATTTTTTTATTTTTTGTAAGAACAATAATAGTTATTATTTCATAATTAAATTTAAAAGGTGTATAGTGTTAATAACACACTCAAATAAATTAAGGTTTTGAGTTTGAGGTAATTTAAAATATTCGTATTTTTAAATCAACTCAAACGTAAAACCTTAAATTTCTCGATACATGGAAAAATGGACTTATACTACTTTCAAAAATAACAGTTCGTATAATAATTATTATAGTTGGCAATAATATAGAAATAATTATATAGTAGCTAGTAGTATACTTACGACGCTGAGGACGAGGATTTTCTTCAAATAATCTATCTTCTTCTTCTGTGAGTTGATCGAACAGCATGTCGACTTCAGGGAAATCATAATCAGGAATTGGAGCTAAATTTGGAGGATGCTCAGGTGCAGGTGGATTTGGAGGAGCGTTGAGGAAAATTAAAGGTGGCGGGTGTAAAACTGGGTTGGGGGGATGTGCAGGTTCAGGTGGGTTTGGAGGAGCGTTGAAAAAAATTAAAGGAGGTGGCTGTAAAACTGGGTTAGGGGGATGTTCAGGTACAGGTAGGTTTAGGGGAGCGTTGAAAATCAAAGGAGGTGGTTGAGGGACATTCGGTTGAGGTACTGGAGCTCCTTGCAGTCCTTGAGGCTGAAAGAAAATAAGTGGAGGGGGGTCATTTTGAACAGGAACATGGAGAGGTAGCACAGGTTGTGCTTGAGGAGCAGGAATAGGTATATCTGCTGGAGCGTCATCTTCTTCATGCTGGACCTCTAGGTACTCATCCAAATTCGCCACGAAGTGAACTGCTTGCCTATAAAAGAAATATTTTTTTTTAATATTGCCATAACCACTAGGCGAAGTAAACTGCATGCCTAAGGAAATCTCCTATGGTAAACCGACCATCCTCTAGCTTGTCCCATGCTTCATTTAGGCGGGTGTTGAAAACAATATTTCTTGTTGCAACCCTAAAAACTCGTCCTTGTCGTTCCAATTGTTCCAGTTCCAGTATGGCTATGTTCTGAATCTCAATCAGATTTTCTGAAACAAAAGGGGTAGTGCCTTATATAACTTGTTTAAAGGTTTTAATATAATAATACATTATTAATTAAGTTAACTGTTTAGTTACTAGATTTATATTCTTATCAATACGCAAATGAAATATACCCATAGTTAGTAGTAAAAATAATATAAAGGACTAGTTGAAGCCTGGCGCATCCGCCACAACATTAGGAAAAAATACTTTTTATTTTTTTTTAATTAAATGAAAAACAAAAAATCCGGCGGCGACAGTTTTTAGAGCCAATTAGCTATCTTTTAGTAAAAAAAGCAACTTTCTAGAGCATTTTTATAATCTAATTTTCTAATCTAAACATTAGCATTTTATATATGTAGATACATACCCATCAAATCCCAAATTCCTGGATGTCGAACTAGCCTACTGTTCAGTCTTCTATGGTAAGACTCCATTACATTGTTCGTCCGATGTTGTTGCCGAAATACGCTGAAATGCCCTGGTGTGTCCCGCTGTATCCATTGTCTCCTAACGTAATTGTGGAATTCCCTAAATATATTGTCCAGTTCTCCATTGTTTCCCTATAAATAAAATGCATGTGCTACAATAAAAAAGCAATGTAGGTTTCAAAAAAGCTAACCTGTAAAGAATTAAATGCCTCTTCGACCATCGCCACTGGTAAAAGAGCCAAGGCATAATATTTCCGCAATAATTTTCTTCCATTAATATGTCCTCGAATTTGACGCAGAACCCCTAGTGTCTTGGCTTGTCGTAGTAAAGCCTGTAACAATAGTATTTCATGTAGAGACTATATTTGATATGGCAGGCTTTCATCGAAACCCATTTTGATAATTAATTTTTAAATTGAAGGGCTTATTGTAATAACATGATAAGCCACTTAACCAGAAATCAATGTTATTAACTAGTAACTAGTATTTTTCTTGCCTTTTATCCATCAAATTTGTTAGATAAATACCTAGCAAGTTAAACTGAACTAACTCTATATAAAAGGTCTTCAAATTTATATTTATTAATAGTTAAATTTACACATTTTTTCAAAACTGCAAAGTCTAAATAATTCGGAATTGTGGATTTGTGGCATATGTTATTATTACAATAAGCCCTTCAATTCTCTTTTAAACTTCAAAAATATATAAATTAAGATATAACTTCTTACCTGACAGAAGTGAAAAAAGCATCCTTTTAGTGATGCGTCTGGGTAAAGCGCTCTCAGGGATGCAACAAGAGCACTTTCATAGTCCGTTATAATTGTTTTATTTCTGAACCCGTCGAATGTTCCTGACAAATATGTGAAAATGGCATCATATAATGGTCTTGTTCTCCTTTCCATGAAAATGTGAAAAATGGGAAAAGCCTAAATAAACAGCAGGTTAAAAGTGGGATAATTTTTTAAAAACTTGTATTTTAAAACTTTTTTTAACTTACATGATCCATGCATATAGCAAAAATCGTAAGAATCTGGGAAAATCCTGGTCTTCTTGGCACAGCCTTAAAAGTCCCATCGATGAAGGTATATTGGGACTCCCTAAAGTTTCCTACGAATTGCTCATTTCCGAATATAAGTGCTGAATGTCCATCAGCCCTCACTAAACCTGAAAAAAACAAACCCTCATTACACTGACTGTATCTAGGCCACTCACCCGTTTCGAGAACTCTCGACAAATCTTCCAAGTCCACAGGAATACGAGGTCTCGTTGACCTTCTCCACCTCTGCATAGAGCTACGCACTGAATTGTACGGGACGACCAAGGCACCTTCCACATTCCTAATAAATAATTAAAATTCATTAATATACCAACATGAAATATATAGAAGTGTAATGTTTAGTTTATTTACCCCATAGCAAGTCTATCATATATGCTTTTTAAATCTCCCTTTTCTCTAAAACAAGCTTCCATCAAAATCCTTTTAAAATTCCTCCCTTCAATTTGATCGTCCATAGCGTGGTGATTGTGATGTCCTTTTTTTACGGTAAATAATCCATTCTCATCAACCGTTCCTGTTGCCTGGCATCTTGTCTGTGGATACTTGGTACATCTGACATATCTAAAAAATTTGGCCATTAGGTCTGATATAAAAAGGGTCTGATTAGATTTTAATTATTTATTATAATTATTATATTATTTTCTCTTTATTCTTTATGACTATTTCTTTATGTAGAATTATATATATATATATATATATATATATATATATATATATATATATATATATATATATATATATATATATATATATATATATATATATATATATATATATTCCTTCACCATTTTGTCAATTAATTCCATGCAGCAAGGCAAACCGTTAATAAATTAAACATTATTTGAAATATTAAAAAACAATTAGATTATATTGAATCCTAATAATATTCTTGTTTATTTGTCTAAAATTCAATATTATTTGATAGGATTTTTTTAAATGTATTTCGTTTATTAAGCAGATCTAAATTACTGGTTTTGGTTATAAGAATACGATTGTATAAAAAATAACACTGTAATGTATAAACGCTCGTTTTTGAAATAGTTGTTTTAACTTTTATGCAGGGCCGCTGCTAATGTGTTAGGCGCCCGTGTGCAACTCAATATTTGCCGCCCCCTTATTTTTAACGAAATGTATAAAAATGGCATAGTTTTTTTTGCCATACCTACATAATATTATGTGTACCAAGTGCGTCTCAAAAGTGGCTCACCCCTATAAATTTTTTATAATTTTTGATTTTTACATGAGACCCTGGTATTTTTTGTTTTAATAATGAGGTCATAAAATATTTAATATTAATTTTATTAGGAAAAATAAAATCATTATTTTTTATTTAATTTTTTTGTTATTTATATTTAAGAAAAAAAAATAGTGGTGTCTGTTTTGGCCGCCCGTGTGCACCTCACACTTTGCACACATGGTAGAGGCGGCCCTGCTTTTATGTTTATGATTATGATTTGTTGTATAAACCCGGCATTCCAAATATGACATTTAATTGAAATGTTATTGACGTTTTGGTTTTGGCGCGCGAAGGCTGAAAATTATAATTTATTTTAAACAGAATGTACAGATACCACGGCGATGTTAAAGGTGAGGAAGAATGAAAATTTGAATCGAAGCGAAGATCTACTATATTTCGTTCTCAGCATGATTAAAAAGATTTGAAAATTTTAAACATGCAACATTGGCAATTTCAAGGATCAACATGCCAATTTTTGAGCTTACCTGCTATAAAACAATATTAAAACAATTTGAACTTTTTTACCTTATTCCATTACTTCTCTTGCTTGTGTAATACATAAAGCCATCATGGAAAACAGTTTCATTGCGGTTTCTATTCCTATTCTCCATATTGTTAACTTACCATTAACTAGCAACCTACCTAAATTCTCTTTAAATAAATTAAATAATGAAATGTTAAATGTAATAATATATAATAAATATAGAATTAATATCAATCAATAGTGAATACAAAGTATAAAATTTGGTATAAATTTCAAATCGCTTTCAGAGCACAAGCGTTTAATTTAACGAATCAACAGATTCTGGCCATAGGATGCAGCTTTTCCCGCCATTACATAAAAATTCCCGCCAACAAATTGTTCCATTTCACTGCATATACTTTCACAAAAGCAGCCCTGTTTATAAGGAGGAAAAAAGATGAAAACATTACCTGTCGTTTGTCACGTGATACTTCCGTTGGTTTTAAGTTATTCGTCACATGATAAAGGAGTAAGTTTTGTCTATTCACTTGAAAATATATAAAACGAATACGTCTAGGGATATTCTATTTCGACCTAGACGCAGTGTTGTTAACGAATTTTTTTTTAGAAATAGATGTCGTTGTAGTTTCGTAATAGATAAGTAATAGAATTCGAAATTTTGTAATAGATTTTATAGGTTTGTTTGAAAATCGGCTTTATTTTACTTTGCAGAAGCACAGAAATATTTTAATAATTTGGAAACTTAAGCACCAATAATTAGAATTATTATAAAATAGTATGTATTGTTAATAAAAAATAATATATAATATAGGATTTTTAAAATCTGAGATTTCGACATTTGAAGATCGTGTTTTAAGTAGTTTTCTGTATTATTGATAATCTAAATCTAAAGGCGTTTCTTCACTGCAACAACGGATGATGGCGCTAAACTCCTAAATTGTTTAATGGGCTTATTAATAGGCTTCAATAAAATATATTATTTTTATCTTTTGTTCTTTGTAAGCAAGAAATTTTATCACAAATCCGAAAAGTCGAAAACGTAATAGATATCTGATCGGCGCGGCGTAATAGCGTAATAGATTACTCCAAAATGTAATATATCTATTACGACTAATACTGCCAACAACCCACGCTGCCCATGTGCATAGACAACCCATGATACAAGCATAGACGAGGAAAGGGGGAGGAGCTTCGATTTACAGTCGGGTCCGCACGACCGCACCCGATACTACACGAAATTTTCGATAGTTTAAACTTTCGACAGGAAAAAGCCACCTCGCGACCGTTACTAGAATAGCGCCAAATAGTCTCTACATTGTCCTTATGGGCACTTTCCAATCTAAACTTGTTTCATTTATCTATGGTTTCATTTTATTATAAAATTTTAATTAATACAATTATTTATCTCCATCATTTACCGGATTAATATTACAGAATTACAGTTCAATTACAAACAATTCATTATTTATAGTGATTTACAGTAATTTTATAAAATTATACGAATATTCTCGTTGATTATTGGTTTGAAATAAATATGACAGTGTCCTCCAATGAAAATCCGAGTTACTAACTCTAAATTCTAATTCCGAGCTGGCAAATGAGCTAGATACTTTACCTGGACCGTTATTCAGAAGCTACAAACCTATATCGATGAAAATATGCATGAAAATTTACATTCTAGCATACAAGGTTGGTACAATATCAAGTTAATTATAGTGATTTTCGTAACCGCGTTTGGCACAGATCGCTATCCAGTGCTGCCATAACCTTATTTTTCATCGGGATAGATTATCAGGAGATAGCGGGATCAAATTGTTGTACAAAGGGATAGATCTACCCCGACGCTGCCACTATCACTATCCCTCTCGCGCGTCTCGCTGCCGTGAGTGTCACGGCATTGAATTTTTACTCCTAACATGCGTAAAGAAGTTTCACTTCAAAAATCTCCGTGTATATAATAACATTCTGGAATATTTTGAATGGGCATTACAGAATTTTGTAACTATTCCACTGACCGAAATAAATGCACCTTTCCATTTGGACAATTACAACTTTTGTGTAAAAATATAATACATCAAATCATGTTCTTCTTTAATCGAATAACTACTAAGATTTTAGTAAAGTGCATTAGTGCCAAAACTGCTCAACATAAAGTCCGAACTCTCAGAAACGTGTGCTCGTGACACCTGAACGATATATATTGGATTTGCGGTTTCCCCCCTCCAACCGACTTACCCCCCTTCCCCTCGCAGCATCCCCCATCAGCGATATTAAACGTCGTGGACTCCTGCGCACCTCCCCCGGCCCAGATTTTCGTTTAATATTGCGCCGAAACCTTATAAAACATCAATATTTAACGGTTTAAGCTTTCTAGACGTCTATCCCCCCCGCCCCCGTTTCGTCTCCCCACCCGCCCCCCGACGGCAGTTAAGCTTTTATTACTTCCTCGGTTACGCCAAAGACGGCTGACGGTGGTCGGGTTCTGTTATTAATTTAAGATATTTTATCTGGAATTATAAACTGCCGACGAGATTCGCGGATTTTGTTTACTTTTTGCCGTAGTCGTCGACTTGGCGAAGTTATGTTCTGTCTTTTTTGTTTTCGTTATTAATTTTACAGAGTGAGAATATATTTTAGATCGTAAACTTAATATATTTTAGATCTTATTAATATACAGGGTGTCCCAGGCTGAGCGTGCCATGAAGTTTCTAGAGAACTACGATATCTAGATCGGAGATTTTTGCACGTCGCGCCGTTGTCTTGCAACGAGATCTATGGACTGAAAACGATTTGAATATGGCGGCATTTTCGGAAATACCGGAAGTTGATAGCAACTTTCTTAATTTAAATGGGTACCCCCATTTTTTATTGCATTATTGCATCATAGCAAGAGTTAATTTTATTATTTATTATTCCTTTAAAATTTCTTTGATTTTCAACCTCATTTACGATGGTTTGGTTACTCTATCAAATTGTTCAGCACTTCCACATAAGCATCACAAGTCAAATTTCAGTCGATGAAAAATGGACCTATAATTTTATCGCCTAGTATTCCACACCAAACATTCAGCTTTTGGGGATGTTGAGTGTGTCCGTCAACAACAATATGCGGATTCTCATCGCTCCAGTATCTGCAGTTCTGCTTATTCACATTTGCGTTAAAAAAAATGAGCACTCATCACTAAAACAAATATTTTTAGGGAGTGAAAGTTCCCTTCGAATTTCCTCCGTCATTAGTTCACAGAACTGAATCCTTTTATCGGTATCGTCGCCGCCAAGTTCCTGCAGAATCTTCATTTTGTAGGGATGGAATTTGTGCATTTTCAATACTCTTCCGACAGATGTTCGAGGTATACCTGTGATTGATGCCAACTGGCATGTTGATTTAGAATTAGAATTTAGAATAAGTGGGAGGGGGGTTAATCTCTGCGATCTTAGAGATCTATTGTGTCCCCCTTTCTTGAGTTATAACTCATCATACAGTCTCAGGACTTCCTACGGAGACCCGTCCCTCACAGTCGCGGAGCTACGACCCAGGCCGGGTAGACGAAACGGTAACTTGTATCGCCTGTTCGGTTTAGAGGTAGGAGGTAGGCTCCCGACCCTTGGAGGAGGTGGTAGCTTGTATGCCACTTGCGGAGGATGGTCTCACGCAAGTGTCAGCCGCCTCTCCTGTAGTTCTCTTTGGTTTTGCCCCTTTGAACTTTCATTGTTACTGTTCCCAGTGTCGCTAGGGGATTTCCCCACAGCTTCACCGGTGATGTTTTTATTACTATTATTACCAGATCTCATAGTGTTCCTATGAGTCGCTAGGGACAGTCGGTCCACTTCTACAGAGCCCCGCATGTAAAAGTAAGGGGTAAATACAATGGGGTGCCCCCGGTGCCCCAAGGTTGAGGCTGTCCGTAGCCCCGCCCGGTATCGTTATATGTCTTGGTGCAATTCCCTGGCCACGACACTAGAGTCAGGGACAAGACGATGAGTGAGATGCTTCTTAGACCAAGCCAAGTGCTAGAGGGGATTCCCCCCAGCACCTGACCAGGAGCTTCCCAACCAACGACAAGGTCTTGCATCTCGACTGGCATGCTGATGCTTCTGGATTGACTGATACCTTACCAAAAACTTCCATCTGCATTTCTTCATTCAGTACCCTGGGTCATGTCCTTTTTTTTTTGACCGATCCAGTTTCTTGAAACTTTAGAATCAAATCTCTAACATAAACGTTTTTGTCCGGATTTCTCTCATTGAAAGCACGGGCCGTTCTCAAATAGCACATTCCTTCAGCACCATAAAGAAAAACTATTTGAATTCTTTCTTCCACAGTATAAACCATTTTTTTTTCAAATAAGCGAATCAAATAAAGGCTTAAAATACCACCAAATTTGCAAACGATTGAAAATCGATAGAAGACAGTGCAAAAACGCAAAGATATCTACATTTTTTATTTTTAGCTTTAAAATGGCAATTGTTTCAAAATTGCATTGATTAGATTAGAAGTGAGGGGGTGGCACCAAGAGGTGGGTTGGGGTGGTTTGAAAAATACTTCATTTCCCTATCTAGCTGGAAAAATCACTTTTTTTTATTAATGTCCACCTAATTTGTCGTGTAAAGGGTAGTTTTTCAATTTTACCCTAAAAACTTTATGATCATTGTTTAGCATTTTTCATGGGCTTTCCAAAAAGGCGCCACAAGTGGGGTGTCGGCATTTAAGATGTTCAAGTGAGTAGGGGTGCCGCCTAAGGGGTAGGTCGGAGTGGTTAAAAAATACGTCATATCGATATTATAAAAACGGTATTTTTTTATATCTTTTTTGGTTTAAAAATTATAGCCATTGTAAGTTTTCAGTGGCCCACCCTGTATTACATTTTTTGTTTGTTGTCCAGCGTTCATTTGCACTTATTCAAGACAAGATAGAAAAAAGTGGTAAAAATGTTCGGGTTTTAAAGGGGTGGCAACGTGTGCAAGGAAAATCAGAGGGTTTATTGTGATGACAGCGGTGAAGGGCAGCGTCATAATTAGAACGCAGGCGACCGCCTTCGGCGCAGATGACAGCCTTGATGAATGGGGTTCGTTATGGCTCCACGCGTAGCAACCGACAATCTCACCAAGGATACTAGATATATAAGAATTTCAAAGACAGTTTATTTGTTTCTAATAAAACGCCTAGATAGGTAGAATCCAATTAATGGGCAGTATACTAACATTTTTCTGTTTATATGTAATTTCTATACAGGGTGAGTTTCCTACGATGTTCTTTATGGGTATCTCGGAAACTACTGGAGATAGAGAGTCGGTTAAATGGGGAAAGAATTGCAGTTTTGTGGAGTCATAAACATGCGCCTTTCAGATTTTTGAAAAAGTTTATGGCTTACTAGATATTTCGAAAAAAAAAACAAATTTTGGCTGTTTCAAAAATTGTCCCTAATTCCATTATAATTTATTTTAGATAAAAAGTTTTCAGATGAAATTTGTAGATAATGAGACTGTGTCCTCCGTTTTTTTTTCTAAAGCCTGCCATTTTTGACATATGACACAAATATATGTTTTTTTTTAATGGAAACCATAGTTCGCCATGACTTCATAAAACGCGCCTTTTTTAAAACTTTTCAGGGATATAAGCTATAATATGTTTCTTTCGAAAAATTACTGAGGTAAAGCTAATTTTTATCATTTTTAAACAATTTCACTTAGTTAGCTATGGCAACAAGTTCAATCGTCGCTGCTCTCAGTAATGTGAAACTGTCACATCTAAACTTTGTAAATTAAAATAAACAAAAATTGTAAATATAAATTTTTAAAATGAAGAAAAGCGTGTGTTATAACTATTTATGTAGTTATGGCTTTTTTATATATTATGTAGTTATAGCTAACTATGATCTGCTACTAACCAATAAATAGGTGAACAGTGATAGCATTTTAAAAAAGCAAAAAACTAAGATCCAAATAATTCGAACAGTTTTTTATTTCATCATCATTATCATTATCATTTCAACAAGCCCTTTAAATGACATTCAGCCGCATCACCCCACCCAAGAATTCCATATGTCAAATGAGATTGTACAAGGGATGAGTATAGGATTCTAAGCTGTTTGACGTCCAAAAAACTTTTCAAATAATTAAATTTCGGCAACAATCCTCGCAATTTTTTATTTACATTATTAATATGAATATTCCATTTAAGATGTTTGTCGATTGTAACCCCTAAATATTTTATAAAATCACATTCCGGTATTACATTATTATTGGTTATTTGTAATCTGTCCCAATCTGGTTCATTATTTTTATAAATAGAGAAGGATATAAATTTGGTTTTGTCATAGTTTAATGTTAATTTGTTTTTGAAAAACCAGGTATTAATTGTTTGAAAGTCTTCCCCTGCTAATCTTTTCAAATTCAACCAAGAGTTAGATTTGTAAAATATCGCTGTATATTATAATCAATTGTAGACATATTCTTACAAAATTATCTTAATTTTTTATCTAGATAGAAACAAGAAAATATACATTAAGATTAGTAACAACGTTAGATCCTAAAAGGCTGTTAATACAAATATTGTGTGAATAAATACTATATATTTAAATAAAAGTTACCATAGAGAACTACAAAATTTCTCTCTGTCCTTTTCATTCTCCACCACTACGCCATTTTATAAAATGACGGCATCGCGCATTATTTATTATCACTTTTACGTATTAATATTAATGCTCTATTTATATGCAGAACGGGACAAATAAAACGTTCGTTATATTTGTTTGATTCAGCGAATGGCCGAAACTAACATTGTCGACATTTTGCGCCAAACATTTACATGTATGGAATATGCAAAGGGTAAAAATATAGCAGAGTTACTGTTTTATTTAAATAAACAAGCGTTGTGGAACAGACAGCGATAAAAAATAATTTATTTCTGTATTTCGGTATTTCGGTCAGCTTTTATTCGGGTATTATTTGTTTTGGACTGATGGAAATTCCACCAAAAAGGGACAAACAACAATTTTCCGAATTTTTTTTATAAATAGACATAGTTTTTTTTGACGTCGTGGACTCTGTGAAATTCTTACGACTTGTTGTAGACAACTCGTTAAAATGGGACTTGCACATCGAAGCTTTGTCAAAGAAACTAAGCGCTGCCTGTTTTGCGCTAAGATCAGTTTCTAAGGAACTTAACTTATCAACCTCTAGAATAGCCTATTATGCCCTTTTTGAGTCACATCTTCGTTATGCCCTTTCATTCTGGGGTACTTGCTGCGCAACAAAATTTAATGGTATTTTCAAACTTCAAAAGAGAGCAGTTCAATATTTATTGGGACTGAACAGTAGAACTCACTGCCAGAATTTCTTTAAAATTTTTAAAATACTGACTCTTCCTGCTTTATTCATTTTTGAATCCGTTTGCTTAATGCGCAAGCAAATATCTGCTATTCCCGAAAGGCCATCTCATAACTATCCATTTAGGAATGCGGAGCACGATCTTTATCTGCCATCCCCGAGCTCAGAAATAGTTAAAGGCTCAATACTGTAAAATGCCAAAAAAATATACAATCATCTGCCTTTTAATATCCGTATAAATATAATTCCCGTATTTCGCAAAGCTCTGAAATCATACTTACTGGAGAGAGCCCTATATGCGGTAAACGATTTTTTGTTGATGTTTAATCATGAACAATTTTGAATTTTAAAATTTTGATCATCTCACACACTGGTCAAAGGTCGAGTACTTAATATTTTATAACTTTTAAAATTATATCCATTTACAATTTTCCTATTTTAAAATTTTATTGATAGGCCTTTTTTGTATTCTGTAATTGTCCATGTATGTTCTATTTGTAATTTTAATGACTTAAATTTTTTTGAATTGAATGATTTGTATTGTATATTTTTTATTATTTGTATATTTTTTGTGCTTTTGTTTGTTTTGTAAATGTTTTGTCGATGAAGCTATTTTGGATTTTTGTACAATAAAGCGTTATTTGTTGATGTACCGTATGATCGAATAAAAACGGCGTCAGCGATGGCTATGAAATGTAGATCGCTGTCATTTTATATGTAAAATTATATGGGAAATGTCATCGATCGTCATTTCCAAGCCAACTGGACGCCGTTTTTTATCGATCATACGGTATTTGTTAGTTTAAAACAGTTTGGGATTATCTCAAAGTTGGCACAGTCTTACAGGATCATCATATGTAGTTACATGAGCTGATAATCTTGATTAATTTGAATACTTTAACCCTTTATTGATGGTCGCTAAATCGACCGTGATATCTAAACGTTGACCGAATTGGCGCGAAAAGTTAACGTATAAGCGGTTGAATATTCGACCAGTGTGCATTGGTGACACTGAGTTCGCTGTGTATCATATAGGTAATAATTTTCGTCTAAGCATTTTCAATGCAAATTTTGTGCCATAAAAATTTTAAAATAGAGAAACAAATGTATCTGCGACATTTATTTCTTTTTATTTAGTGCACCAAACTTACGGCTCGGATGATATTTTCTAAAATCGTTAACATATTCTGAATATTTTCTATCTTTTCTCATAGGATGCGAGTTTCTCGACAAACAAAATTTGATTTACTTGATATGGGCATATTTTTGCTAGAGAGCTAACAGAGATAATCAAAATGAACTTACTCTCTTTTCTGACCTTGGATGATACATACAGTTTATACATTATATACATTAGATAATTACATATTAACTGTTTGCTTTAACAGTCTCTGGTTGAAGAATTAATTTTTTTGTTAACTTTTTTAAAAATGTTATTAAGAAAATATGCTCCCTTAGTGCTAGTTTATATATTTTTGAGGTCGATTTGATCAAACTAAAAATTAATTAGTACTACCATATAAAGGGTTAAATACAGTCTGACAACAAGGTAACAGCAAGGGAAACGCAGTTTGTTAAAGCATAACCGATTTCATTCGTAAATATTCATATACTTGCGGTATATTATAAAGACATATCTACATATATAATATAGTAATATTTGTTAGAAAGAGTATATAGAACAATATCATATTTTATTTTGTTTCAGTGGCTTATGTCAACATGGGTACTGCTCTGATTGCTGCCGGAAGGTGTCAAGAAGCTATAACAATACTGAGACAAGGATCTAAACTAGACGGCACTGGCTTACGTGATCGCCGTGAACACGAGTCCGCTAGAATATCAGCTTTGCTACAGTTGGGTGCTTTGTACAGTGACCAAGGAAGATTACCAAGAGCTGTAGCCGCATACAAAGAAGCTGTGCACATCTTGCCTAGTTATTATCCACCTCAAGTAAGCTTGTTTTGATTTGTTTTAAATTTATTGTAACATGTATACAGTCTACATCTCTGGTTTTTAGACAGGAAAAACGTTTTTATTATTATCTGACATTTTAAAAAAAATTAATTCTTTATAAAAAAATTTCTTATTCTAAAGTAGTTAATACCATTTATATTTTTTCTAAAAAACTTCCAAAAATCAAAACGCGTTTCTATGGTAATATCAGTTCGTTTTCATTCTTTAACAGAGCATTATTATTAATTTTGATTAACGTACTATTTTTTAAACGGCCTATTTGGCAAAATTTAATTAGTCCAATGCTATGGAAAAAAAGTTTAAAATTCATAATCAAAGTCTTCTTTAACATTTTAAAATAGCCAAACATATGACATTAATTACAGTTAATAATAATCCTCTATCCATAGATCATCTACCATAGACCGAAAACGAAATGAAGTTACCATAGAAACGCATTTTAATATTTGAAACTTTTGAGAAAAAAATCAACTAAATTTTTATATTTTATTTATTTATTTCTAATACGGTATGGAAATTTGGACTAGTTGAAAAGGGATAAACCATTTTAAAATAAGCAAAAACTTTTATGAAGAATGAATTTTTCTGAAAAAAGCGTTTCCTCTTGTAAAGACGACGCGGAGACATACTGTATAATAAAAGATCTTAGCTTTAAACCGTTAACTTCAAGTGCATAAAACGAATTTTGTATTTATTTGTGATATTTTGAAATAATATTCCAATTCTTGCAGTCTTTCGGTCAGGGTTAAAGAATTAAATTACTATTTCACGAAACAGAAATGAGAAAAAAGCATAAACAAACAAAATAAATTTAAAAAAATAAAACATTTTAGGAAATAATATAAGGACATAAAACAATGGTATTATCTGACTACAAAAAATGATTTTATATACATAAACAAAAACAAAAACACACGAAAAAAAAAGAGGGAATAAGCTAAAATACATTAGACCAAACAAATTTTAAAATAGCATTCCCTATTTTTTCATTACACAACAAATTTCGCACAAGTATTTTTATCCTTTAAATTGCTCATTTTTAGTGGTTTCGCAATTGCGGCTCAACTGAAATAACGTTCAATTAGTCAGAATTGTGTTTGTACGACTTTTAAGTTTATTTTTAATTACTTTATTCATTTCTATTTGAGATTTTTCTCTCTTTAAATAAACATACGTGTTCAATTATACGTTTAAATTGAAGATAGAAACGTATAGTAATTTCACTCACCGGCACGATAAATAAATAAATAATAATAATAAATAACGCTTTATTGTGCAAAAAGCCAAAATAGCTTCATCGAAAGCATTTACAAAACAAACAAAAGCACAAAAAATATACAAATAATAAAAAATATACTATACAAATCATACAATTCAAAAAGATTTAAGTCATTAAAATTACAAATGGAACATATATGGACAATTGCAGAACACAAAAAAGGCGTATCAATAAAATTTTACAATAGGAAAATTGTAAATGGATATAATTTTAAGGGTTATAAAATATTAAATACTCGACCTTTGACCAGTGTGTGATATTATCAAAATTTTAATATTCAAAATTGTTCATGATTAAACATCAACAAAAAAGTCGTTTACCGCATATAGGGCTCTTTCCAGTAAGTATGATTTCAGAGCTTTGCGAAATGCTGGAAAGAATGAAAGCAACTTGATATTTAAAGGCAGATGATTGTACATTTTTTGGCATTGTACAGTATTGGGCCTTTAACGAATCTCTCCAAAAAAATTAAAGCTAATGAGCTGAATCAAAAAACAAACTGTCGAGACAAAATACACCTAGATGATAAAATTATTTCTAAGCTTGCTTTACTAATTTACTCCGCAGGGTATTTCAAACTGTCACCAAAATATCAACATTTTGTTTTCCCTCGTATAATTGGCAGATGGCAACTTTCAATTTTAATTTTGAAAGAGATACTAAAAAGCCAAATAATTAGCTACAAATTGCTTAAAAAATCATGAAAATTGGTCGACTAGAACACAATATATAAAGCTTTAAAATACATGAATAGTTTAAGGTGTTTATCATTTTTTTTTGTTTATCATTGAGTTAAGAAGCTCTTAATTCACGCATTTTGAGTGAGTTAAGAGCTTCTTAGCTCACGTATTTTCATTACCGCACTCCTTGTTTAGATGACTGCCAAAGAGAAAAAGATATTTTGTAAAACATTTTATTTGCACTAAATTAGAAAGATATGTTATGAGTACCTTTTCATTTCCATAGTTGTGTACTTTTTTTTCGGTGCGCCATTTTTCATACTTTGAGTATGTATAACGTCCATACTTTTGTTTCGATCTTGCAGGAAGCAATCCAGGAATGGCTCTGAATGCCTCTTCTTCAATGTCAGAGGGAATACTTTTCGAATCGCTCATTTTTTAAACTAGTGACATCATTATTATTTACTGTCATATTGACATTGCCATGCGTGGTGTTATTTGAACAAAGGTGTTAAGGTAATTGATTTTTAGGATAGGTATATAGTTAAGTACAATAATTTTTAAAATTCATTGTGTGTTTTTATAGGTAGACGTAGATAAAATATTGTACAATACACTTGTGTGGTTACACAACTCGTGCTACGCACTTGTTGTGCAACTTTCACACACATATCTTAATCATGCTGTTAACTCACTTGTATCATAAATATCTATTATCGCTGGTGAGTGAATAATTTTACTGATTTATTTAGTAACATTAACTTTAATTAAATTAAACTGTTCTTCCCAAACCCAATTAATCGTTACCGAATAATACAAGCCTAGTGCATATAAAATAAATCGGATCGGTACAAATTCAGCATCGACGGATAATTCGACTGGTTGAGGGACGGGCACAAACATGACAAATAAAGGCTTCGCGCGATGATCGCCGCGCTGATTGAGATTCGCTCATTCGCTGGAACTGACGCGACGTTCGGAGCAAACTGCCATATTTTAGGATTAAACCGGCCGTCGAGGTTGATAGTTTGCATCCCGGCCGGCATCTCTTCAGGGAATTATCGGTTAATTCCGGCGATCAGATTAATGCGTTTCGATAGCTAAACGTCCTCGTCTATTTGTGATGAATTTTTGCCGGCTGCGCTGAAAAATCGCCGATAAGCTAATCCTTGAAACGTAGAAGTTTTCACAAACTAGTTTCAGTTTTTAAAATGTACGGTTATGAATATACCGTGCTGGTAACTGTTTCTTTTGGGTCGGTATTTACATGTGTGGAAGTAAATCGCATAGGGATCTTATTAAGTCGGAGTGAGAGAACTGAGATGGTGTGCTGTTGCGGCGTTGCCACATTTCTCCGGTACGCCTTTCCCTATCAAGTAAAGTAAAATCACGATCGCAAAACCGCTAATTTTCAAAAGACTTTTAACATTGAAAATGTTTCTGTTATCCTATTTAAGGGAGCCCAAATCGAATTAAAATGCCACATTTGCCACACCATGACGTCATATATACAAGGGTATAGGAAATCTCGGCGCAGCGGCGGCAGTCCGCCAGCGCGCGCAAAAACCATTATATCGTTAATTGTTTATTGATATATCTTTATTAGTTTAAAAGCAAAAAATATGGGGCTTGCTTTGATACCTTGTCAAGATATAAGTGAAACTTTTAAATTGTTTCTTTTTTTCATTTAGGTCTTCGTTTTTCGTTAAATGAAAGTTATATTAAAAAAGTCTATTTTTAAACCAAATTTTGGCATGATTGAAATGAGTTATTCATGTTTAAAGTTTTTTTGGTCATAAACGCTAATGGAAATGTTTTTTTGTAAATAATTATAAAAAATTACTCCCTACGAAGACTTTATTGTGTACTGGATCAAAACATAAGTATTTGTTTTCTCTATACGGTGGTATTAATATATCGATTTTTGATGATTGCCCTTTTACCCGGTCTAATTTTGTACTACTTTCGGAATAAGGGTCCCCATATCATGTACTGTACTTCCATCCCTGAAAAATTCAGCTTGTGACACCGAAGTGAGACGTAAAGTCAAAATTAGCTTTAATGTACCTACATCATAGGTAGGTGTAGGTACTCTAGGTATATTCTACCTAGACAGTAGCTGACAGTAGTAATTAATTTGTTATCCAATAAGTAGTTGTCATTATATAAGTTTAATCATCTTATACCTCCTACAACGGTAGGTTTTGGATTTTTTCCTGATTGGTTTTTCATGATTGGTTTGGATTAATTTATTATACACCCCTTAACCCAAACACTCCAAGGAGGATATTTCGTGACCCTTTATTTAAAGTGGACAAGCTTTATTAGTCAATGTTTTAATTACCCAGCGTCTTTAATAAAAATCTAATGTAATTTTTCATAGAAATGATCTGACATAAAAGCAAATTTTATCTAAAAACTTTTTGATTATCTACAAGGAGTAAACCGCTGACAAATGTCTGTATACTAAGCCAAAGTAATGCCAAAATACAAATTAAATACCAAAGTTTCTCATATAATGCCCCACTAATGCCAAGCTGATTCCAATATAATACCACTAATACCACGAATAATATGTAACACATTTGTTTAACGAATTAACCTGTAACAACAGTGGTAGGTACGTGCACAGATTTTTTCCTAGGTAACTTAAAAGTCGTTAAAAAATGTAATTATATTTAAAGAAGATATAATTCCAACTAATTGCATTATAAGGCTTAATGTAATACCATTAAAGTTGCACAAGTAATACCATTAAAATTTTAGCGTTTAACATATTTCTTTAAAAAATTAACCTGTAACAATAGTGGTAGGTACGCGCACAGATTTTTTCGCTAGGTAACTTATTAAGTCGTTAAACAGGCCTATAAAAGCTATAACAACATAGGTAACTAATATTTATAATTTCATTCGAGTTTTAATCTCAAATAATAAATGTTTTTACTGGTGTATTTCTGAAGTGTTCATTATTAAAAGTAGATATTCTTCAAGTTATGTGAAGCAATAAGTAATGTTTC